GTATTTTGGATTCAGCAACCCCTCCCTGCAGTGCACAGTCTGGAGACCTCTGGAATCCTATTTTGGGGCCCCAAAGATGTTCATCAATTCTCATCTTGGGGTTGCACAATTTATTGATGAACACATCAGTGGTGACAGGTAATTGGGACACAATTCAATCAATCTGATCATCCATAATTTGATTGCAAAATAGACTCATTGGGACAAGAGATGGTCTGCATGTGTCCTCAAATTGTCTAAACCTTGGGAAAGCAGGTTTCCAGAGGTCCCAAGAAGAATTTGGTTGAACCTTGTGAGGTCAAATTGTTTGTCTTTGGAAAATAATACTCAAACCCCTAGCCAATGGTGCATTTGTGGTTGCACTCAGGAGGGAGGTCTTTGGAAATACACAGAAAACATAAATTTTACTTTATGTCTCTTTCAGAAAATGTATGTTGTGCCAGTGGTACCAAGCAACAAGGTCTATACAGTGCTCAAAATAGTATGATCTCACTGCGCCAAATTGCAAATTTACCGTGGAGTTTAGAAAATTGAGTAGACATAGAAAATTATAGCGAAGCTGGCAAGGGTCAGAAAAATATGAAAAAATAATGGGAGGGCCCTTTGATGCATTCCGATTGTCTGGCATATTTTTTCATATTTTTAAAACCACAATGCATATAACACTACACAAAATATAATATCTTCTGGGCAGAAAATATAAAAACCAACAAACAGTGATATTGAGCAGTCTTGGAGAGAGACAAAAATACACAAAAATATGCATATTGTTCCTATGGCTGAGACCTTGGATTTGAGTATTTTTTTGTTTTTTTAGTGTGCATGTTGTTGATTGTACTAACAAAAGACCTACAAGTTTCTCAGATTACAACCTGTAACACAGATTGGAATTTTGCCAAGGGGTGACAAGGGGATATCTGGAATTCTATATCCCTCATATATTTTGCAATTCTGGGTCAAAACACTTGATAGTTAGCTGATTAGGAAGCCATGAAATGCATTTGAATTTCATGTTAATGCAACAAATCTGTAGCTCCGCTACAAAAGAGCCTATTTGTCTCCAAAACAATTTCCTATATAGCCACATAGATATTCTTTGGGATTAGATGCAGGTTTTTTGTCTCAATGAAAGATATAGTCACAGAGTTTGGCTTTCCAATGAACAAAAAATCAAGTGGTTTGACCAAGAATTGACAAAGATATAAGGGATTGTTGAATTCAAATTATGCCCTCCAATGTCTGTTACAGGTTGTAATCTAACAATCCTGGAGGTTTTTTGTTAGTACAATCAACAATTCTCACACTAAAGAAACAAAAAAATACTCAAATCCAAGGTCTCAGCCATAGGAACAATATGCATATTTTTGTGTATTTTTGTCTCTCTCCAAGACTGCTCAATATCACTGTTTGTTGGTTTTTATATTTTCTGCCCAGAAGATATTATATTTTGTGTAGTGTTATATGCATTGTGGTTTTAAAAATATGAAAAAATATGCCAGACAATCGGAATGCATCAAAGGCCCCTCCCATTATTTTTTCATATTTTTCTGACCCTTGCCAGCTTTGCTATAATTTTCTATGTCTACTCAATTTTCTAAACTCCACGGTAAATTTGCAATTTGGCGTAGTGTCTGTATAAATAATGAGTCTACAGAAGGTTTCTGAGACTTCTAAAGCAAAACATCAGTCAAGATAACCTTGATCAATAACAGTCAAAAGCAAAATTAGAACACTTGTAAACAACCCAATCATCTAGGTAGTGATACTACTCAAAAGGATCTATCAATCCAATAACCAAGTAATTGAATTTGAGTGGTATACTAAGTAAGCCAATGCATGATAAAGGCACAAGAACGCACATCATCAATAATTGAATAATGATTGAAAAGAAGCAAATCCAATCAGTGTTAAAATGATGAAATGACAAGCTATCTATGCCTGTTGAGTCACAAATTTGGGAGACATGTGGTTGGTGCTTGTTAACAAGGGTCTTGGGTTTGTCCTACATTGTTTCCCTCCACCCTGGTCCGGTGGACTGCATTCATGTATTCCCTGGTTTGGGTGGCGTGGGGGCCCCATGGGCATCTCCTTCAATCTGTGGTAGAACTTAGAAATCTTTTACATCCTCCAAATCCCTCATTTCAATTTGAAACACTGTTGACATTCCCTGATCAGTACCTCATTTCAAGTCAAGCCACTTTTTATGTCCCAAGGGTCCTCTACATAAGTCAAAATGGTCAATAGGTTTGACCAAACTTCCATGTACACATGTGTAGGTGTCATCCCACTCCTCAATCAATACCGGAACCGCTCCGAAACAAATAGCGGTTTTGAAGCGGTTTCGCAGCGGTTCAGACCTTCGCTGTGACCTTCAAACTACATAGCGGAGGATACGCACCAAAACCCAGCCCCCTGTTTACCCATAGCGGAGCCACCGCAGCGCAACCGGGGCCCAGGGCGGCTGCTCCGCTATATATCAGAGCAAACCATGCAGGCAGGCAGGGTTCTGAGAACCCTTTCACCCATCTGTATGGACCACTTCAAGCCCTATCACGCTGTATTCAATCCTCAATCATTCTCAAATTCAGTTGCAACCGGTGGTGATGCTCTTATCATCATACCAAAATCATCAATCTACTTCATCAACTAATCTACCTTATCCAAACTTATCACTTCAAAAATTAAACATTCAATTGATGATATCAACAAACAGATTTGTGACACAACCTCTTCAAATCATTTAAACTTATTAATCAATTCAAACTCAATCATTCAATTAGATTCAGATTTAAATTCAACTAGCAAATTTGCGGCAGGCGCCGCTTTAGCGGCTGACGCCGCCCTGTCACATATAACCTGAACACATTTCAATCCCAAAAGCATGTCACAACCACAATTTCATACACATACATAACACTTCAGCGGTGGGCACCGCCCTTGGTGACATCAACCTGACAGAGTTTATTTGCAATGGAGCAGTCAAAAAATCAAGTAATAAAGTGAGATGTTTAAATATATTTGGTCAATACATCACTTACAAAGTGGTAAACAAAGTGGAATAAGTTTTTGAAAGCTTAATTTAATTGTTAAGATGGAAAGAAAACCTGTACATACCAAAAAATTAGAAATTCCACCAAACAAACTGTAATACTCTTATCATCCAAACATTGGAAGGACCTCAAGACTGACTCTACTGACAGTGTCTGATTGCAAAGAAAGCTTTCCAGTTGATTCTCAACATGCTCAATTCAAGTGGACATCTAGGCTTAAGTTCAGCCTATGATGCAGAGATATCTCTTGTTTTCCATAAGAAATTATTTTGGTTCATTTCATGCTTCCAATTGAATTTCCAAAGGTACCGGTTTTCCTCAACCACTATACCCTTAGCAGCAACGCATATTTATGTATCACACAGTTTGGGAATGTGATTAACTTAAATGTCCTGAAACTTATAGCAGAGTATAATCATTTCCTCTGTCTAGTTGCTTTGAGGGTGTCCGCACAACTGTTGCTTAATCACCTCCAAAAGAAGAGTATTCTTGGTTTCAAGATTGAAGTGGCAATCAAAAATATTGCTAATCAATCCAAGTACTTCGCATATCATCACAAACCAAAAGAGCCTGAACAGTGGGTATGAAAAGACTGATAAGATGTATCTGTAAACATCATAAATGAACAGCCAAATCTCAACAAACAGTCAACTGAATTGAAAATCATAACTTCTTGGTGTCTTTCAACTGTGAATTTATTGAGATGCATATGTGTACACTAAAGATGAATCAATTCCTGTGGTAGTTGGTTGGCATACACAGCAATCATTTGAATAGACCCACTTAAATCAAACTTGCAATCCAATCATCCAAATGGTCTGATCCTGTAAACATTCCCAATCTAGCTACAAGTAAGGAAGTAGTATGAAATGGATCATCAAATGTATTTCACATGTATATAGAAACTTATTGTTTTAATTTGATCATCACTTTTGAAATGATTTTGCTTTATGAATCTTTAAGCCTGTTTGATCTGATAAGTCATCAATGATAAGATTGTACATAGTGATTGTGATAGTTGGCCTTCTTCTTATCAGAATCCAAAATCAAGTGATCAGATTGGAGCCAAAAAACACGTCTATAACTTTGTTGACATTTTGTTCAAGTGTATTTTTGCTTAAAATCTAACCAACAGATAGTCAACACCAGAGTGGAGTGGCTTTACGGTTGGGATATTGTATAGAGTACCTTGAAGATACCAGCATTTGGCTTTCAGAACAAACCGAGTTGGTTGATCAGATTTCCATTTGGGTAATTCAAGCGGCTCACCACTAACTTTGAGAGAAGAAGGTACAGGTCTTAGCTTTCCACTTTGGCCTTTGCTTCAGCTAGCAAATTGGAACTATCACTTACTGAAGGTATTGTGATTTGTAGAAGGTGGTAGTCATTAGCTTTGTGTATTATTCTACCTAGACTCTCTTCACCCTATCATTGATGACTGGTGAAAAACTTAGAAAAAGTTGCAATGTGATGTCAGGGAAGGATAAGAAAAATGGACATACTCGATTAAGGGCCCTGAGAATGTCAAAGATTTCTTCATTAGGATCTCAAAACTCCTGTTCCATGATGAATATGTGAGCGTGTATGATAGAATCTCCTCGACATGTTTCCAGATTGGATAACATCAGGATGATGATCATTTTGGAAGCTGAAATGAGCAAACATAAAGAAATGATCAGTGGTTCTTTGACAATCCGATTTATTGGAAAAACACACGTAGATACTTGGTGCGAGATTTTGTAAGTTGATCGAGGCGCGGAGTTGAAGATGAAGGATTACTGTATTCTGTAGTATTGTGAGTTACTCTAGCTTTGAGATGTTGAAAATTGATTGACGGATGTATAGACCTATTGGAGAATCTTTATGAAATTCAATGGTTACTGATTTCATTATTGTTATTGTGAGAAAGTGATGTAACTTTGTATTTGTTTTTATTCAAACTTTCAACTGCTAAAACAAATTTCTGATGTCCATATTCATCCATGGCTTTTCATCAATCACATTCAAGGTCGATTTGTTGACCAATCCAACATCAAATCCTTCGATTCCAAGTTGGTCTCCTGCGTCTAATGCTCGGTGAACAATCTCTCCAAAGGAAATGACTGCATCAAGTTTTCTTCATCGGGAAAACTAAAAGAAAGAATGATTAGCTCCCTCACAACCACTTTAGATTTAGGTTGAAAGCTGCAAGTTACCTCATCTTTTCCTGGCACAAGTTCATGATCCCCACCAGAAATGTTCTTGCCCGTTCTCTTTCGAAATGAAAGCAACTTTAAAACAAGTTGGGAGAACATATCAAAGACCAATGTCCCAAAACACTTTGGTCACCATAGCCAACATTTGATGAACAATGGCAGGGAAGTACATTCGGGTGGGGTAATTACTATCTTCCAGACCATTGTCAGGGAAAAAGGTGTTTAGTCCAAAGCAACCTGCTCTTAGACAGCAAAAAAGGTACTGAAGATACGAACTTTTCCTTTTTCAAAACCAAATCCAGCAGCAGCACAAAAGTTACCATGTTCCACAATAACAGAAGGAATAAAGATTCCAGGACGAGATTGATGAATGGCCTCGAAACCAGTTGAACCTTTGAGATCAAAGTTGATGCGAATCACTTTGGATTTAACGTCATCTGTTGATTTTTTGTGGACACGACAGGCATCGTTTTCCTACTACAACCAGTATATTTTTCACCCTCAGCTCGGACGATCTTTAAGGCATGCGCTTCCAGTGTCTTTCCGACTTTGTAACCCTTGAGATAGCCACTTGTGTGACCAGAAATTGTGACGTTGTTATTGTCAATCAACAATTTGATGTTGAGTTTTTGAGCCCTAGCGAGTCTGGCTGCTTCAGCGTCACTTCCCTCGTGTTGTGAACCATCTGAACAAAAACAAAATACAGTTTCGGTTGGCGAGTGCGATACCCTTGAGAAGAGGCCCTGAAAGTCCAAATCAAATGAAAAATAGAATGAGTAAAGTATTAATCAAAGAGTGGTGTCGGCCAGTATGAATTCGCTTACACATGTGGCCCAATCGACCACTACTGAACTGAACTTAACACCAGGGGTGAGACCAAGTTGTGGATGACCGGGAAGTTTTGACTGAGCCTCACGGTATGCGGTACATCAAGTTCTCAGGTGGGAGGTGTCCAGGAAGGGCAAAGAGGTATTGAGTGGCAACTCGGTGACCTGCTTCATCGGAAACGGTGTGATCGAATATCTTTGAATCAGATCCACTTGCAAATGAGGCAAGCAAAAGTACCACTTCTCGCACAGTATCGAAAGGGCCTGTGGTTTGAAAAGTACAAATGTAGATGAATTAGACAAGGTAAGCAATTGTACCAAAATAGAAAGTGGTCGGAATAATAAGGTTTTTGGGGCCAATCAATCAAAACGTGTATATGATCGGATTGATTCATGAGAATTACTACCACAACGGATGCAGTCAAAAGTGATGGAAAATAATTTTGGAAGTTTTAGGGATGACGCTTACCACCAGCATGACCACCAACACCTCTTGCGGCGCCAGTATCAGTGAAGAAGACGATACTATCTCTAAGAATGGAGGTATTATTAAGTAACTTTGACTTTTCTTCTTGAGTAAGTTTAGGTTGAGAAGGATGAAGAGTGACTTTTTTGATTCACTCGATGAATGTGATTCGGAATGTGGTATAGGTTTGGATACTAACCTTGGTTGAGAATTTTAATTTGAAAATCAAAATCCAATTGATCAAACTTCAAAATGTCTTTAGGATCGATTCAATTTCACATAAGCCATATGAATTAATGTAATCCATCCAGTCTGTCTCCTCCTTCTGATGTACTCTTGAATGATGATTTAGATTATCAAATTTTGAAAATGATTTGTTTCACGTTGCGCCTGGAGATTTATGCACAAATTGAAAATGAAAAAGAAAGAGATATCAAAACACGTATCAAACATATTGTTCCTTTGTCTGAGATTGAAGAACAAAGACTGCTTACATTAGTGATCTGTATGAGTACTTCTTAGCCATTGTTCAAGTTGTTCACCGGATCTAAGTCACTGCAAGCAAGGAGAAATCTACAGTCCAAAAAAATAAGATCACTCAAAGCTTCCCATGATGAATCCGAAAGATCCACTCACTTGAAACGTATATCTGTTTAGATGCAACGCTGGGAGTTTTCACTTGGTTGAGGAAGTCTGAGAAGAATGACATCTTAGCTTCGATTTCCACCAAGCTGAAGGCAGGCATTGATGGTGGGTGGGATTTTGGGGGATCAATATGTGCTACTCACAAAGACAGATGATGTGCAAAATGAGTGCGAAGGGGTTGATAATTTCCGAATAGTTTTTGTGAGGGTTGGGTACTCAGTTGAGGACTCAAGGCTCACTAGATGGCTATGAAAGGTTTGTAATTTTTAATAATTATCTTTTATATTTCAATTATAAAGTAATTACAATTGGAAATTTAAGAAAGAAAAGAAAGGGGGGAGAGAAGACTGGTCTGTTTGGATAAATCCAGACAGACTACAGTTAAATGACTCCTTAAGAGGAGATTTTATATATAATTATAATTAATTATAATTGAAAACTGGATCCAAGGTTTTCCTTCAGACCTCTATTGACAGAATGAAGAGTGAGGTCTAGATCACTACACTGGTTGTTCTTATGGTCACCAACCTTGGGTTGTTCTTATGGTCACCAACCTAAGTACTTATATATAGGCCACTACCCTGTGAGTTGTTGAAGGTCACTAACCTAGTAAATAATCTACTTGGGGAAAGTAGAGGATCCAGAGAATAGTTGAAGGGTGTATTACTTACTTTTAGTCAGGAACTGTTTAAAGTAGAGAAGTAAATCACTAGTCTTAATTTATAAGACCCTTGATTATGAACTTCTATATTACTTTAAAGATGTTCTTTAAAAGTGATATGTAATAAAAGCTTGGGGATCCCTCTCTGAAGGCTGAGAGAGGAGGAGTTTATATACTCTCCTCTCCAGACCTAACTGTAGTGATATTTGTTTATATCACTGCAGTGGTTTAGGGTTTAATTATTACTGTTATTTATGATTATTATTAATACTACATAATTACATATACCTGTTATGTAATTTATGTAGTATAAGCATTTTTAACTCTTGACACTGAGTTATGAGGTGTTATGAGTGTTTTATTACATATTACATATGATTTTAAATGTATATGTATATGTAATTAGGTTGTATATACGGTTTATTACAAGTTACATATGTTTTGTAGGGTTTATGTACATGTAATTAGTTGTCTAAAGGTGGTTATCTATGTTACAAGTTAGTCTTTGGGTACATACATATGTATCCAGGGCTGACAGTTTTGAGGCAAGGTAGCAATGCGACGGGTAAATTATTGCATGGGAAAATGATGGTGAATGAAAATTGATTCACAAACACAGGTTTCTGCCCATGTTCAAACTCGGAAATGGCGCTAATGGTGGATTTTGTTGAGTTTTGTAAGCGAAGTGCCTTTGGGATTAAATGTTATGATCTAAAATTCATTCAACTCAAAAAACAATTAGATTTCCAACTCTTAAATCTCAATTCATCACCATCATCAAACCTAATCAAATCTACTCTTACTTCATTGGAAATCGAAAATCTAACCAATCCAAATCAGAATGAGGATCCAATCACTTCAATCAAATCAATCCAAGTTCATCTACATCCAATCCAACTCACTCGTCAAAAACTTCAATCGGAGATGAATCAAATCTTGAACAATGGTCTCATTCAACCTGATAGCACCCTCCTTTCTACTGCTTTTCAAATCGCTTTCAATCTCTCAATCCTACCTCAATCTATCACTCTCATCATTCAAAACTTGATGCAATCAATTCAATCAAGACTGAAATCTACATTCGATTTAAACTCTTTAGCAAAACAATCCAATCTTCAAGGTATTTCTTCCATCACCTTTTTCATCCAAGAATCGATCGATCACAGATTCTAATCCTTTCTGGTTGAAAATTCACAGAACAGACTACCACCTCCAGTTTTGCTTACAAATAACAAGCATGTACAGAACCCACCTCATCAAACCATTCACAATGGACGAGCATCTTATGGACAAGATTAGAATCCTTAATAGACAATCTCAGTTCATCTTGTATTAAAGTTTAGACACTGGAAAAAGTATTAGAATTGAAAAAAACATCTACACTTCATCAAAAGAGTTGCGCTCAAGTCTCAAACGTGGTGAATCACTCGGTGTTGAAGAAAGCTTGGGCTCGCGGACAAGCAGTCAGCGTTCACGGTTGGGCTTACGATCTTGCAACTGGAAAACTAAACTTTGTCCACCAATTTAGCTGTGTGGATTTGGAGATGAACGTTTTAGGCCAATATCACTTGCTCATATTGGTTCTTGATAGTACACATATGGTAATCAAATCTTTAGAGTGAAATGCAATTTTTTTTCTCTTGCCTCCATAGCGCAACATATGGCAATATCGCAGCGCTCACTGCACTACGATATCGCCGGAGGTTTTTTTTGAAAAAAATAGCGATATGGTGCGCAGCGGTTCATTGCGAAGCCCGCGCATCAATATCCCAGGGGCCCAGAATCCGTAGCGTTTCGCAGCGGTTCCGGTGTTGCCTCAATACACATGTAGGAACTCAAAATTTAGGCTACATTCCTTGTTTTGGGGTGTAGGCGCTTTTTTGAGCGCCTACATGTCGGAATTTTGATGTATAGTGGTTAGTGTCTAAAACCGTGAAATGTTGGGCCGGGCAAAAAAATAAATAAATAAAATTACATGTGTTTGAATTTCATACTACATACATGTACACCACAAGGACAGTTATTTGTGTCAGGGAGTCAGGCGTGTCCAAGATTGGGGACACAGCCCGACATCCACTAACGGGGCGCTGGCTCGACGTCTGAGCGCGTATGTATCCACACCACATCCTGAAGATGCACTGATGGCGCCCTAGACAGGATGACGTGCAAGCACAGTGTGCTTGGAAGACCTACGGATGCCCAATCAAGTGGGCACCCTTACAGCAACACCGAGACAGCAGCGTAACGCAGCGTTACGAGGCTGGTTGCGCGTAGAGTAGCTATATGAGCTATCGGAAAATTTCCCAATCGGCTAACGCTGCTCGCCAAGCTACGCTATCTACCGTTGCGTAGCTCTAATGTAATCTCACCGCTATCCGAAAGCTGTAACTCTGCTAGTGGAGTTACGTTACAGCTACCGTAACTAGTTAACGGGCTAAAAGTTGTGAATGCGCCATAAATTTCTTCCAGTAGAAAAAAATAATAAAAAGGCAATGAAATTTTACGAAAAAGCCAGTAAATGTACCAAACAAACATGAGAAATATGACAAAATCAGAAAAAAAAAACTAATAAAAGAATGAGACAAGAACATGAGAAGATCACAAAAAATCTTGAACCCTAATGTGCTCCATTACGCTGCTGAATTGTTCACCTAGAGGGACCCCCTCAACTAACCACATACGTGTTGAAACCGACCTCTCAATGGTTATGGGAGTTAACCCCCCTCGGGAGGCTGAACACACATCAGCTGCGGCTGAGAAAGTGCGCTCGGGTCCGGCAGAAGATCCTGAGCAAGCCAGGTAGTCGCAAGCCATTAGGGCAACTATCGGAAACCTGGATTGATTAACCTGTCAAAGTAAATGTGTTTGTGTGCGTGCATAATTCAGCATTAGGCATGATCAGGAAAGACGTAAGTAACTGGATGGGACTTACCGACCACCAACGAAGCGCTTCTTTTGGGTCACCAAGATCGTAATCAGGAGCTTTCATCCGGATACAACCTCGAACGTAATCCTTTATTTGAGAGTCATCGCCAAAATCCTCGTTATCACCATCATCGTCACTATAAATGTCAAACATTCCTGAAGTCGAGGCCATTGAGACACCACCTCCATCATCTGATGTTAAGGTCAAAGGCTTCTTATGTGTTGATCGCACCTGATACTCTTTGAATAAGGTATTGAGCGTTGATTCAGCAAGTATATAAGTCGGCGACGTCTTTTCGAAGTGTTTCTCAAAATACTTGAGTCGAAATGCTGGGTGAAGTGTTGTTGCCATAACGAGTGTCTCGCAAGCAAGAGCCTCGTCCAAGTACCCCTGCAACTTTGTGATCATCGCCGCAAGCATGGGGTAGAGTGCGTCACTTTTTGACAGGTTGTTTTCCCGCTCTTGTAAAGTATTCCGCAGCTCAACATAATGAGGAATCACCATGGCGCCAGTGGGTGCATTTCCTTCCATCTGTTTAGTAATCCTTAAAAAGGGCTGAATGAATGTACGATATATCAATAAAGTGCCACAAACAAACAAGCTGGTAAAATATTCACCTCGAGCTCTGAGTTGAGTTCCTGGATCGACGCCCATTCAGATGGGCTTATGGTGATCTCATGGAAGTACCCATGAGGTTTACCATTCTTCTGAGGGCGTCGAGTCTTTGAGTGTACCCGTGTAAGATCATCCTTTAAAAGCTGATCGATTACCTTTTAAAAGTATAGACATCACATTAGACAAAGGTGAATGTAAAAATTATAATGAAGAAATAAGTATAACTTTGTAACGGATGACTTACATCTCGTGCCAACCAAGCCTTGTGCCGGCTAATGTACTTGATATTCCATCGAATGCCATAGCCGGCAATCAATGACCCAAGCGATAATCCACGGCTGTTCATAATTCGATTGTACTCGTTCCGCCAAGAAGAAGATCGAGTTATTTGGCGTATGACAAAGTCGAGCTGGTCATATAGACAGCACTTGTTAGTGGGTGCAATGGGTAAATAGAATGAAGACACTTACCTTTTCTAAAATGTAGTTCAGCTTGTTGGCCTCTCTTCGGTGGGTTGGAGCGGCAGTATCCTCAAGGATAAGTATTGGATTGTTGGTGTCTTCTTCGTCGGCCACATCCCAATCGTCCTCTTGGTCGATCTCACCAATGGCATCACCTAGAGTAGACTCTAATCGACCTAAGAGAGGATCGGTTTCAATTTCATCTTCCTCAATTTCTTGAAGGTCGTGTTCGACATCAGACGCTACATCTTCTGATGGTGGATTGGCGACGTCAGGTACCTCAAGCACAGGCCCGTCACCAGATTGAGAGTTGGCTTCATCCGGCTCATCTTCTTCAGCTACAGTGGCGCAAATCCCTGGGAATTGCCCTCGAACGGCCGTCTTGATCTTACGTGGTGGAGGTGACTTCAGTCCTAGAGAAGCTAAACCTGAACCAA